AATCTACTAGATCTCCAGCGGGCGCTTCAGTTCTTCATCTCCACGCCCAGTGTCGGGCTCTGCTACTCCACCATCCCAACTTCATCCTTCAATCTCATTGGCTACGTGGACGCCGATCACGCCGCTGACCCTGACAATCGACGGTCTAGGACAGGCTTCCTTTTCCACCTCGAGCCCAGCGGCCCCATCTCCTGGAATTCATAGAAACAGGAACTGGTTGCCCTGTCATCAGCGGAATCCGAATTCATCGCAGCAACAGCAGCCGTTCGCGAAGGCCTCTACCTTCAGAAGCTGCTGCAGGAGGCGAAAATTCCAGCCTCGACGAATTTTCGCTTGCACTGCGACAACCAGAGCGCAATCAGGATCACGAACAAGCCGGGATTCGTCAACCGCACCAAACACATCGCGCTGCGGTACTTCTTCGTCAAGGACGAAGTTGACAAAGGCAAGGTTGACCTAACCTACTGCCCGACGGGTGACATGGCAGCTGACTTCCTCACGAAGAAGCTGTCACGTCAGCAGTACCAGCACTGCTCCGAACTCAGCGGAGTAGTCAAGCGGGTCAAGACTCGCTACGGCCAGGAGTGAAGGGGGGTGTTACGAATAGTGATTATTGAAGCACTATTGTGCACTCCTCACCGCAACAATTGAAGCACGCAGTACGGAGAATGAAGACGAACGGGCGGAAGTGACACGAAGGGTCGCACGATTACGAAAGGATCTGGACCGTCGGGCAGACAGCATCAGGCAGCAGCAATGGCGAGGATTTTGCCCGGACAGTTTCGTAACTGTCTGGAGTCGCACGGTTGAATTTCGATGTAATAAGGGAATGTACCCCTTAGAGTACATGGCTAGCTAGGTCGATTCAAATTCCCCTGTACTCTTATTTATATTCCTTGTACTGCATGTTTTTATCATCTTTAGCATTTTACATTCACTCTGCTATTGAGGTCAAGGGCCCACCACTACTAGACTAGAAGTGTGCGAACCTTCCTGAGGTGATCCTGGTTACGATCTACTTCTGATCGCAACACGGGTAAGTGCGCCCATAACCCCCTAGGCCAACATGCCTGCAACCCTTCCCTAGGATCAATCGGGGATCACCAGTGGACCTCTGACAGTGTGCGGTGCCGCGCTCGGGAAATTTTGGTTTCCCGCCAGGGCTGACGTTTCAATTTTGTCGGCGGCGCCTCTGCTCATGTCGGCGGCGTTCCGGTGTTTTTGTCACGTGCAGCGCATGGTTGTTTCTGCTGATCGCATTTCGTTTCGTTGTGTGTGTGATTTGGGCGTGTCCGAAGTGAAGCGTCGAATGGATGTCGCTGGATGTCGGTAAATTTCAACCCTCGAATCGAGAGTTCCAACCGTCAAGACTTGCCGACATCGGATGTTAACGGATGTCGCGTTCACTTCGGACCCGCTCTTACGGTTCTGTACTGGACACATTTTCTCGCATGTTTGCCGATTTTGTCAAACTTGGATTTGCGTTTCAAGCGATTTGATCGTTCACCCGATCTGGTTGTTGTCGCGTACCAAGTGGGCCAAGTGCTACGCAGCTGAGCTGGCAGCATGCAGAAACTGTTGCTTGGCGTGGCGTGTGAGCATCTGGCAGTGCCGCACGAAACTTTCACTAATCAGGAGATTCGCAATTTTACAGCAGTGCGTGCTGCAAATGTTTTTACAACGAATCAACATCAAAATTGCCTATTTTTTACAATACATGAGCAATAACTTACATGTGACGAGATTTTGTCTCAGAAATCTCGTTATCACGCAACCATTTTCTTAGTGTAACCGGGGGGGATATTCTTGACGAACAAGTGTATTCGGATGTCCCAGGGCCCAGTTTGGCAGGCATTGAAAAATGGGCCTCGGGGGATGGGCTACAGTAAACCGACCACCCTGGAACCTTTCTTGATAAGCCCGTGAAAGGTTATACAGGCTCGATATAAACGGATAATCGCTGAACCAGACAATAATGGAATACCAGCCGAACACCCCTTTTAACGCTGGCATTTTCTACCAGAAAAAACTTCCTCGAACCCTATTTCTCAGGCAAACTGTCCATTTTCTAATCCGCCGCACCATACGGCCTCGAGGTCCCGCACCACACGGGGAAACAGTGATGCGGCCAATCAAAAGTGACTAGTCAAATATGCCAGGCAATCGCATGATTACGCGATCCTTCATGGCAACTGCTTCCTAGCTTATGCGTGTCAGAATGTGTTATTGTCTAGTCTGCAGTGGGGTACTCTATAGCGAGTACAGCCCAAATTAAGGTTTGCTATATCTATCCTATCTGCTGCTATTGAAAACCCTCTTTCCTGTTTGACATTCCTCGTTCATTCTTCTGACATGCTATCAGAGCGAGATCGCTCCTGGTCTGTGGGCCCACCTGCTTCCGTTGCAGTCCTGTCAGTAGAGCTGCACTGTGAGATCCCCGATTGATCCTTGGGGGGTTACAGGCATGTTAGCCTGGGGGGTTATGGGCGCACTGACCCGCTACTGAAACAAGCCCTTTTATCCCAATGGTCTAGTGGTTGGGATTCTGACATGTCCTACCTATCGCGAGCCTCGGGCGCGCGACGTCCTCTGCCTGCCGCGCACCCTGCGCGCGCGCGGCAGTTTTCTACCCACCACGCGCTCGGGGCGCATGGCGATTTCCTGCCCGCCGCGCGTCCCGGGAGCGCGGGGCGGTTTCGTCGCCCGTCGTGGCGCCCCGGGGGCCCGTGCGCAGTCCCCTCCCGTCGCCCGTCGTGACGCCCTGGGGGCCTGCGCGTCGCCCCCCACTCGCGTCGCTTGCCGCGGCGCCCTGGGGCCCGCGCGTCGCCCCCCTCCCGTCGCCCGTCGTGGCGCCCCGGGGGCCCGCGCGTCGCCCCATCCCGTCGCCCGTCGTGGCGCCCCGGGGGCCCGCGCGTCGCCCCCTCCCGTCGCCCGTCGAGGCGCCCCTAGGGCACGCGCGTCGCCCCCTCCCGTCGCCCATCGTGGCGCCCCGGGGGCCCGCGCGTCGCCACCTACTGTCGCCCGTCGAGGCGCCCCATGGACCAGCGCGCCGACCCGCTTTCGCTCGCCCGCTGCCCCAGATGCTGCCCGCGTATCTGCCCCGCGCCGCGCGCGCGCTGCCTGCGTTGGGAGTATGGGGGTGGCGGGTATGGGGGTGGCGGGTGTGTGAGCCGTCCCCTGCTCCTCCTCCTCCTCCGTCTCCCACTGCTGTAGCTGCCGCTGAGGGGGGTGGGTGTGTGGGAGCCGAAGGAGTGGCGCTAGGGGGGTGTCATGGGAGTGGAGCTAGGGGTGCAGCAGGGGGTGTGTGAAAGGGGTGTGAGACAGTTGGGGGAGGTTGAGCGGAGGTAACCGTCGTGACGTCAGCAGCGCCAGTAGTCAGGGGCCCTTGCTCCGGTAGCCCAGCGAGTCTGCTGGGCCAGTCGCCCGTGGGTCCGTTGCTCCTGCCGCTCGTTTTAGCCGCGGAGCCAGTTATTCCTGTAGTCCGGGGCCCTTGCTCCGGTAGCCACCGTGTGCGCCACTCCTGTTGCCCGTGTGTCTGCGGCTTCACTCGTCGCATCCTATCTCCACTCCTCTCACAGTCCCTCCTCCTCCTCACTTGCCCTCTGTGACTGCCTCTAGCTTTGCTTGTGATTGTGAACTTCTTATGCGACTGCTTGCTATGCTGATTATACCCCACTTTGCCTATGGGGGTGTGTCAGAATGTGTTATTGTCTAGTCTGCAGTGGGGTACTCCATAGCGAGTGCAGCCCAAATTAAGGTTTGCTATATGTATCCTATCTGCTGCTATTAAAAACCCTCTTTCCTGTTTGACATTCCTCGTTCATTCTTCTGACAATGCGAAGCTAAATCCTCGATTGATACCATCAATCTAGGCCCATAAAATGCCAACCGAACACTCGGGCCATTTTTTCCGAAGTTGCACTACAGCTACAGCCTGATATCGCAGCTGCTTCGAGGGGGCATTTTTTGGGGCCCGAGGTCAGCATGGTAATTTATCAAGTTATGTGGTTGAAATAGTGTTGGCGAAACCTTGAAAACAAGAATTTCGGCAAAGTCAGTGTAGCGAGAAAGATATTGATTGACGAGGGGGAAAGGGGTCTCGCCAAACGTGACGCAATAGTGTGCAGCTTGTCAAACTCTGCGACTGGAAGGAGTGTCGCAAGGATTTCCTCAGCCAATCAGATTCAAGTAGGGGAGAATGTCCACGCACAATGCAACTACCAGCAAAAACGAAAACGGGAAGCACCAACAACCTCCGAACACCCCGATCATCCAAGTAAGCTAACTTCTCACGATTGAAATAGCCGAGGAGCTAACAACAATAGAACGTCCGAACGTAATTGACGTCCCAGAACAAGCACATGCGGGGTCGCAGGAAGGGACGTTCAGAAGAGCGCGACATTGCTCGCTGCCCTGGTACTGGCGATAAGCATTAGCAAATAGAAAGTCTGACACCGATTGAGTAGGCTTTCATAGTTGCCGTCACTCATTGCGCCTGTGCGTAAGAGTGTAAGTCCGTTCCCCTATGAGCTGCAGATTTTGTCGCACGGGAGCAAGTCACTGTGCGACAGTGCATCGTGCGACTCGCTGATGCTGTCAGCGAGTTCGTTATCCACTCGCTTCAAATTCTTACTGCGAAGCAGCATACAACCTTCGCGGACGAGCAGGGAGAAGGTTGTATGCTGGCGGCAGGTCGACACGGGGACTGCGGAAGGCGGAGAGGGAGGGGAGAGGCGGAGCACAGACTGCGTCAGTGGGGGAAATCGGTTCTTATCGCGCGATAAGAGAGCTGTCCGCTGGCGCAACTTGTGGCAGACGCAACGCCAGACGGCGGAGGAGAGGAGGAGCAGATACGGGGGGTGGAAGGGGGAAAGGGGGAAAAAGAAAATTGGGGCTTGGCCCGCTTCTCATCGCACTGAGGCGTGCGCAGCTCAAGGACAGAGCGGAATGAGGCTTGTGGTGGGGATGAGGCGCGTGGTGGGGATGAGGCGCGGAAGGGGATGAGGCGCGGACCCCCCATGCTTCCCCTCCTTTCCCCCCATGCTCACCCCTCCTTTCCCCCCTTGCTCACCCCTCCTTTCCCCCCTTGCTCACCCCTCCTTTCCCCCCTTGCTCACCCCTCCTTTCCCCCCTTGCTCACCCCTCCTTTCCCCCCTTGCTCACCCCTCCTTTCCCCCCTTGCTCACCCCTCCTTTCCCCCCTTGCTCACCCCTCCTTTCCCCCTTGCTCACCCCTCCTTTCCCCCCTTGCTCACCCCTCCTTTCCCCCCTTGCTCACCCCTCCTTTCCCCCCTTGCTCACCCCTCCTTTCCCCCCTTGCTCACCCCTCCTTTCCCCCCTTGCTCACCCCTCCTTCCCCCCTTGCTCACCCCTCCTTTCCCCCTTGCTCACCCCTCCTTTCCCCCCTTGCTCACCCCTCCTTTCCCCCTTGCTCACCCCTCCTTTCCCCCCTTGCTCACCCTCCCCTCCTTTCCCCCCTTGCTCACCCCTCCTTTCCCCCCTTGCTCACCCCTCCTTTCCCCCCTTGCTCACCCCTCCTTTCCCCCTTGCTCACCCCTCCTTTCCCCCCTTGCTCACCCCTCCTTTCCCCCTTGCTCACCCCTCCTTTCCCCCCTTGCTCACCCCTCCTTTCCCCCCTTGCTCACCCCTCCTTTCCCCCTTGCTCACCCCTCCTTTCCCCCCCTTGCTCACCCCTCCTTTCCCCCCTTGCTCACCCCTCCTTTCCCCCTTGCTCACCCCTCCTTTCCCCCCTTGCTCACCCCTCCTTTCCCCCCTTGCTCACCCCTCCTTTCCCCCCTTGCTCACCCCTCCTTTCCCCCTTGCTCACCCCTCCTTTCCCCCCTTGGCCACCCTCCTTTCCCACCCCTCCTTTCCCCCCTTGCTCACCCCTCCTTTCCCCCCTTGCTCACCCCTCCTTTCCCCCCTTGCTCACCCCTCCTTTCCCCCCTTGCTCACCCCTCCTTTCCCCCCTTGCTCACCCCTCCTTTCCCCCCTTGCTCACCCCTCCTTTCCCCCCTTGCTCACCCCTCCTTTCCCCCCTTGCTCACCCCTCCTTTCCCCCCTTGCTCACCCCTCCTTTCCCCCCTTGCTCACCCCTCCTTTCCCCCCTTGCTCACCCCTCCTTTCCCCCCTTGCTCACCCCTCCTTTCCCCCCTTGCTCACCCCTCCTTTCCCCCCTTGCTCACCCCTCCTTTCCCCCCTTGCTCACCCCTCCTTTCCCCCCTTGCTCACCCCTCCTTTCCCCCCTTGCTCACCCTCCTTTCCCCCCTTGCTCACCCTCCTTTCCCCCCTTGCTCACCCCTCCTTTCCCCCCTTGCTCACCCCTCCTTTCCCCCCTTGCTCACCCCTCCTTTCCCCCCTTGCTCACCCCTCCTTTCCCCCCTTGCTCACCCCTCCTTTCCCCCCTTGCTCACCCCTCCTTTCCCCCCTTGCTCACCCCTCCTTTCCCCCCTTGCTCACCCCTCCTTTCCCCCCTTGCTCACCCCTCCTTTCCCCCCTTGCTCACCCCTCCTTTCCCCCCTTGCTCACCCCTCCTTTCCCCCCTTGCTCACCCCTCCTTTCCCCCCTTGCTCACCCCTCCTTTCCCCCCTTGCTCACCCCTCCTTTCCCCCTTGCTCACCCCTCCTTTCCCCCTTGCTCACCCCTCCTTTCCCCCCTTGCTCACCCCTCCTTTCCCCCCTTGCTCACCCCTCCTTTCCCCCCTTGCTCACCCCTCCTTTCCCCCCTTGCTCACCCCTCCTTTCCCCCCTTGCTCACCCCTCCTTTCCCCCCTTGCTCACCCCTCCTTTCCCCCCTAGCTCACCCCTCCTTTCCCCCCTTGCTCACCCCTCCTTTCCCCCCTTGCTCACCCCTCCTTTCCCCCCTAGCTCACCCCTCCTTTCCCCCCTTGCTCACCCCTCCTTTCCCCCCTTGCTCACCCCTCCTTTCCCCCCTAGCTCACCCCTCCTTTCCCCCCTTGCTCACCCCTCCTTTCCCCCCTTGCTCACCCCTCCTTTCCCCCCTTGCTCACCCCTCCTTTCCCCCCTTGCTCACCCCTCCTTTCCCCCCTTGCTCACCCCTCCTTTCCCCCCCTGCTTCCCCTACTTTCCCCCCCTGCTTCCCCCCATGCTAGCCCCCTGTTCCCTCTCTGCTAGCCCCTCGTTTCCCCCCTGTTAGCCCCCTCTTCCCTCCCTTCTAGCCCCTTCTTCCCTCCCTCGTCCAGTCTCCTCACTTGCTCCCTTCCTCTCTACCGCCCTTCCCCCCTTCCTCTCTGTCCCGCCTTTCCTCCCTTGCCTCCCCTCATTTACTTTACCCCCTTTCTTCCCCTCCTTTTCCCCCCTGCTTCCCCCTCATTTCCCCCCCTGCTTCCCCTCACTCTCCCCCCTGCTGTCCATTATGCTTCCCCCTTGCTTACTCTACCTTTCCTCGTGCTCACCATCCTCCCCCCTACTCACCCCTCCTTCCTCTCCAGTTTACCCTCTGTTTCTCCTCTCCTTTCTGGTTTTTGGGCCTTGACAGCACAACAGAAATGACATCCAACCGTCCTGTTCTTGTTCTTGAGTGGTGCTCTTTGCAGCTTGGTCGAACCAAATAAGTAGAGGGGGGCTCCTGCTTGTTTGTGGCATTATTGTGTCGATCAAACGATCCTTTGCATATTACCGTACATCAGTTTATTCAGGACGTTCTGTGCATGCAAAATTTGATACGTAGATAACAGTGGTACATTCTTTTGCATCTCTGGATAAAGCATTGTTACATGATGCAACTACGCATAGCATTCAGGTATGCAACTTGTAAAATATGTCCTCTGCTCTAACTTTCTTGTGCTTGCTCCTGCGCGGACGAGAGATGGGAAGACAAGGTGGAAAGGTGGGAAGGCAGGAAACAGAAGGTGAGGCAAGCGAGGCATGCAGGGGGGAAAACCAGGAAAGGAAGAAGGGGAACAGAGTGCAACGATGGGAAACGGAGGGGAATGGAGTGGGCACACACATCGTGATGGGAGACTAGGTTTTCTTCGGGAGAGGGCAAATGGGAAAAGGCAGGAAGTATACCCTCCCCCCCTCCGTCCCTCCCCCCCTCTGTCCCCCTCCTCTGTCCCTTCCCCTCTGTCCTTTCCCCCTCCTTTCCCTCCCCCTCTGTTTTCCCCCACCTCTGGCACTCCCCCCGTTGATCCCTCCCCCCCACTGTCCCTCCCCCTGTGTCCCTCCCCTTCTGTCCATTCCCCCCTCTGTCCCTCCCCCCATCTGTCCCTCCCCCCCTGTCTCTCCTCCTCTGTCCCATCCCCTCGGAGAGAATGAGGGAGGAAGTGCAGGTTGGAAAGAGAGAGGGAGAGAAAGGGTGGGAAGGAGAGCGAGTGAGAAGAGTAAGTGCGAGTGGGAGAAAGGGAGAAACGGAGAAAGGGAGAGAAAAAGAGAAATGCTGCACGGAGAGAAAGAGAGGGTTAAGGGGAGGATGGAAGGAGGGATATATGTGGGTTGCACGGAGGGCGGTCTGTGGGGGGGAATGCCGGTGGTGTGTGCGGGGAAAATGGAGGCATGGGATTGTGGAGAGGGAAGGAGCAGGAGCAGGTGGGAGTGGAGACAAAGGGTGTGCCCGAGAGAGGAGGGGTACACGGGTGGGAGAGGAGAGGCACATGGGGAAAGCGATGGCTCACCTGGTGTGTGGCGCTCACCTATCTGTGGATGGGGGTAAACATGGCGGAGGGTGGGGGGAAGCAGGGCAGAGGGAGGGGGAATGCATGGCAGAAGGAGGAGGGAAGCAGGGCGGAGGGAGGGGGGAAGCAAGGCATAGGGAGGGGGGAAACAGGGAGGAGGGAGGGGGGAAGCATGGAGGAGGGAGGGGGGAAGCAGGGAGGAGGGAGGGGGGAAGCAGGGAGGAGGGAGGGGGGAAGCGCGGAGGAGGGAGTGAGGAAGCACGGGGGAGGGATGGGAGAAGCAGGGAGGAGGGAGGGGGGAAGCAGGGAGGAGGGAGGGAGGAAGCAGGGAGGAGGGAGGGGGGAAGCAGGGAGGAGGGAAGGGGGAAGCGCGGAGGAGGGAGTGAGGAAGCACGGGGGAGGGATGGGAGAAGCAGGGAGGAGGGAGGGGGGAAGCAGGGAGGAGGGAGGGAGGAAGCAAGGAGGAGGGAGGGGGGAAGCAGGGAGGAGGGAGGGGGGAAGCAGGGCGGAGGGAGTGGGGAAGCAGGTGAGGCAAAGGAGAATAGATTGGGGGGTAAATAGAGCTGGTGCCCCTCCCCCTCTGTACCTCCCCCTCTCTCCTTCCCCTTCTGTCTCTCCCCCTCGGTCCTCCCCCCTCTGTCTCTCCCCCTCTGTCTTTCCCCCTCCATCTCTCCCCCTCTGTCCTACCCCCTGTTCCTTCCCCATCTGTCTCTCCCCATCTGTCCTTCTTCCTATCCCCCTTGTCCTTTCCCCTCTGTCTGAGGGAAGGAAGGAGAGAGATAGAGGGTGGGAAGGAAGGAGAGGGAGAAAGGGAGAGTCGTTATTCGGGAAAGAGCGAGATAGCGAAAGAGGGAGGAAGAGAGGGAGGAGAGGGAGAAAGGCAAGAGAGCGAGAGAGGGAAGAGAGGGAGAGGGAGAGAGGGACAGAGGGAGAAAGGTAGAGAGCAAGGTAGAGAGGGACGGATGGAGAGAGGAAGAGAGGGGAGAGGGAGAGATGGAGGGAGGAAGAGAGGGAGGATGGACGGAATTTACTGGGGGGAATCGTATATGGGGGGGGGGATGAAGGCGGGTATGGAGAAGCGCGCGCGAAAGGGAGAGGCGGGGGCGACGAGGAGAAGCGCGTGGGAAATAAAGAGGCGGGGGCGACAGGAATGTGCGCGCGCCAAATAAATAGGTGGGGGCGACGAGGAGAAGGCACACCGAAATAAAGAGGCGAGGGCGACGAGAAGCAGCGCGTGCGACGAGGTGTAGGATTGTGTCAAACTTATATGCTATAGTCTGTGTAGGCTGTAGTGGGGTAGACAATATGGGGTACAACACTTTTAGGTTTTCCTACTTGTACCCACCTGTTTGCCAGTGCATTCATTCCTCGTTGTTTCACATGGTATAGAGCAGGTTCCCTAGTGGGAACGTTTCCTAGGGCCCACCGAAAATCGACTTTTTTTTTCCTGCCCGGAGCGCGCTTTGCCCCTGCCCGAGTCGCGCCCCGTGTGCCTGCCATCCCGTCGCGTCCCCTGCCCTTAGCGGCCCGTCGCGCTCCCTTACGGCCCCGTAGCGGCCCCTCTCTCGGCCCCTCACGGCCCCTTTCACGACCCTTCGCGGCCCCTTCAGGCCCCTCGCGGCCCCTTCGTGGCCCCTCGCGGCCCCTTCGCGGCCCCGTCACCGCCCTTCGCGGCCCCGTCGCCGCCCTTCGAGGCCCCTCGCGGCCCCTTCTCGGCCCCGTCGCCGCCCTTCGCGACCCCGTCGCCGCCCGTCTCGGCCCCGTCGCCGCCCTTCGCGGCCCCGTCGCCACCCTTCTCGGCCCCGTAGCCGCCCTTCGCGACCCTTCTCGGCCCCGTCGCCACCCTTCGCGGCCCCTCACGGCCCCTTCGCGGCCCCGTCGCCGTCCTTCGCGGCCCCTTCACGGCCCTTCGTGGCCCCTTCACCGCCCTTGGCGGCCCCTTCTCGGCTCCTCCGCGGCCCCTTCACGGCCCTTCGTGGCCCCTTCACCGCCCTTGGCGGCCCCTTCTCAGCTCCTCCGCGGCCCCTTCTCGGCTCCCACACGGACCTGCCGCCCCGCCGTCGCCGCCCCTGCAGCAGCAGCCAACGCCGCTCCAACAGCGGTAGCCGCCACCGCCGGTGCCGCCGACAGCAGGCAGCCGCCGCCGCCACAGCCGGGGCCGCATCCGCCGCAGCAGCCTACAGCAGCAGCAGCCGCCGACGGCAGCAGCCGCAGCCGCCACAGCCGGGGCCGCAGCCGCCGCAGCCGCCGCCTGCAGCTGCCGTCGCCGTCGACAGCACCGAGCCCACCGAGCCGCGCCCACCTGCCCACTCTACCCACCTGCCCTGGTAAGAGCACCACCGAGCCGCGCCCCTCCTGTTGCTACTGCTGCTGCTGCCCCTAGCCTGCTGCCACTGCTGTCATGGCTACCCCTAGCGTTCTCGCCTTTGATGCTGAGGGTCGGGCTGTTGACTTTGAAGTCTGGGTCGATGATCTACAGCTTTTCCTACAGTGCGATAGGAAAGACGGTCTCTCACTGTTCGATCTCACGTCTGGCGCCTCTGCTGCCCCTGCTGCCGATGCTGACAGCACTGTTCGCTCACAGTGGGCCACACGCGATGCTGCTGCCCGTCTTGCTGTGCGTAGTCACCTGCCGTCCACTGAGCACGCGCACTTTAGTCAGTACAAGAGTGCTAAGACCTTGTACGACGCTGTAGTTGCACGCTACTCTTCCCCTGCCACTGCTGCCCTTAGCCGCCTCATGCTGCCGTACCTGTTCCCTGACCTCGCCGCCTTTCCCACTGTCGCTGACCTCATTACGCACCTCCGCACTAGTGACACCCGCTACCGTGCTGCGCTTCCTGCTGAGTTCTGCGCCAAGAACCCCCCCCCCATGTACATCACCCTCTACTACATAGTCACCCGGCTCCCTGACTCCCTTCGCTCGGTCATGGACCACTTCCTCTCTGTTTGCCCCACCACACTCACCGTTGACCTCCTCGAGGAGCGCCTCCTGGCAGCTGAGAAGAGTATAGTCGCTGTAGGAGCCTCTCGTGGTGACCCTCGTGCCCACTTCTTTGAGGGGTGCTCCCCCTCCCCCCTTTTTCCCTCTGTTGCCTCTGCTGCTGCCGTCGACTTCGTTGGCACCGAGTCGGTCGGCGCTGCGTCTGCCCCTAGCGGGAGACGCCGCAACGGCAAGGGCAAGGGGGGCAAGGGCGCTGGAGGGGCTGGCGGGGGCGGTGGAGGTGGCGGTGGAGGCGGCAGAGGGAGTGGGGGTGGCGGTGGGAGTGGTGGCGGGGGTGGGTGCTTCGGTGGCGGCGGCGGAGGCGGCGGCGGCGGTGGCGGTGGGAGCGGAGGAGGAGGCGGTGGCGGTGGTGGCGGAGGTGGCGGCGGCGGAGGTGGAGCTGGTCGGGTTGGCTCTGCGCAGCGGAGCGGCTTCGGTGGTGGTAAGCGCCAGCAGCAGCAGCGCACTCGTGACACCCCGCCCCCGCAGCAGCTTCGTGAGTGGTACGCTGCGCGTCAGCGGGGTTTGGGGGTGCTGGTCCTTGTGCCTACGTCCTGCGTACCGGCGACCGCACTGGTGAGCAGTGCGGTGGCCCGCACACCACCCAGCGCTGCTTCGGCCGCCTGACGGACGCTTGGCGTCTCCAGTTCCCTGACGCCACTGAGATCCCCCGCTAGGGTGAGCTGCTTAGGTCGGGGGTTGCTATCTTTGATCTGGATTATGATGCCATTCTTGCTGCCATGTATGTTGTGTCTACTAGTGATGAGGGTGACTGTTACCTATGTGTCCCGCCTGACCCGGGCATTGACGCTGCTGCTCTAGGTGCTGGTGAGGCTGCTGCTCTAGGTGCTAGTGCGTCTGCTGCCCCAGGTACTGGTGAGTCTGCTCTCTCAGGTACCACGTCGGCTCAGGCCTTACACACCTTCACCCTTGACTCGGGTGCTTCCCGCTCCTTCTTTCGAGACCGCACCACGCTTACGCCGCTTAGTCGGCCAGTTGCGGTCTCCCTGGCGGACCCCTCTGGGGGTCCTGTCCTTGCCCGCTTCTCCACTGTCTTACCGTGTCCGGCGGCCCCCTCTGGCACCCTGTCCGGTCTCTACCTCCCCTCGTTCTCTACGAACTTGGTGAGTGGTGCTGATCTACAGGATGGGGGGGTTGACCAGTTCACTCCTGCGAGTCAGCGGGTGACCCACTGTACGTGCGCTCGGACGGGCCGACACTTGGCCACGTTTACCCGTCAGTCGGGGTCGAGCCTGTACACACTGACTACTGAGTCTCCTCCGGTTGCTGAGTCTGGTGAGGTAGCTGCGTCGGGTCAGGTGTTTGCTGCGGCGTCCAGGTCTGGTCCTGAGTCTGCTCCCTGGTCCGGACTCTCCTCTGGTACCACCGCCTTGGTCACCCCTCCCTGCCTCGTCTCCGAGGCATGGCCTCCCGTTACCTTGTCTCTGGTCTCCCCCGGTCCCTCCCTCCCCTCCCTCTGGGGCCTGCCCCTACCTGTGTTCCCTGTGTCGAGGGGCGGCAGTGCGCCGCCCCTCACTCCTCCGAGTTTCCTCCGACAGAGGCTCCGCTGCAGACTCTTCACATGGACGTGTGGGGCCCCGCCCGCGTCCGTGGCCAGGGTCACGAGCGTTACTTCCTGTTGGTGGTTGACGACTACTCGCGTTACACCATGGTGTTCCCCTTGCGCAGCAAGGGTGACGTCACTGAGGTGTTGATCGACTGGATCCGCGTGGCTCGTCTCCAGCTCAGAGAGAGTTTCGGCTCGGACTTTCCTGTTCTGCGTCTGCACTCTGACAGAGGGGGGGAGTTTTCCTGTGACCTTCTGCGAGCCTTCTGTCATGCACAGGGCATCCGCCAGACCTTCACGCTTCCGGCCTCTCCACAGCAAAATGGGATTGCTGAGCGCCGCATTGGCATGGTCATGGACGTCGCTCGTACGTCCATGATCCATGCGGCTGCTCCCCATTTTCTGTGGCCGTTTGCGGTTCGGTACGCAGCGCATCAGATCAACCTTCAGCCCCGGGTCTCCTTGCCGCAGACCTCCCCCACCTTGCGGTGGACGGGGAAGGTTGGCGATGCGTCTGCGTTTCGTGTCTGGGGATCTCGGGCGTTTGTCCGCGACTTGTCTGCGGACAAGCTTTCCCCCCGTGCTGTTCCCTGCGTCTTCCTTGGCTTCCCCCCTGACGCGCCTGGTTGGCAGTTTTACCACCCCACCTCGCGCCGTGTTCTGTCCTCCCAGGACGTCACATTTGACGAGTCGGTTCCTTACTACCGTCTCTTCCCCTACTGCACTGCGCCCCTCCCCCTGCCGCCGCTATTCCTTGCGCCAGGTCCTCCCCCGGTAGACCCTCTCCCCCCTCAGGGTCCTGCCCCGTCAGGTGTGTCCCAGGTAGACGCAGACGAGCCTGTCGAGGTAGCTGTTGACTCTGGTGCTGCTAGGGGTGCTGAGCCTAGGGGTGCTGAGTCTGGGGGTGCTGAGCCTGGGGGTGCTGAGCCTGGGGGTGCTGAGCCTGGGGGTGCGGAGCCTGGGGGTGCTGAGCCTGGGGGTGCTGAGCCTGGGGGTGCGGAGCCTGGGGGT